GAAGTTAGTTTCTGCAATTAACTTGACAGATAAGCATTTTGTTTATTTGAGGAAGACGCCATTTTGGCTGTTGTTTCAATCTATAGTGACAAATGAGCTGGATTATTCGGCGTACCGTAAAAGGGGCAACATGGTGGTGAACATCATATGGGCTTATAGTGTGTGGGATGGCGCGTTCCGTATTGGTGGTAAGGTTGTGGATGTGACTGATGAGGACATATGGTTGATCTTCGGAATTCAATACGGTTCGGCTTTCCTGGATATGACACCTCGTCCGAGGCAACCTTCTGACTTCATACAGCGAAGGTGTCAAAACACCAGTCAAATCACTTCGAAGATTGTTAGGAATCTGATGGTGGAAACGGCAGTGGAGGAGAACGAAATTGACAAGGAGGACACGGCTAAATTGTTGTGTTTGTATGCATATAGGAAATTATTTTTTTCAATGGCCGGGGAAACAATTAGTTGGTGCTTTATACGTTACATAGATAATTTGGATGCAATGAAGAAATATGATTGGACGGGTGCAATCCGTCATGCATTGATGAGCTCTGTACATAACTTCCACGAAACGCCAGAAAAGGAGATAGGATGTGTTGCCTCTTTGTTGGTATTGCTGTTAGCGTACTTGTCTTGTCTTTTGTTTTGTTTTTGGGTTTGTATATTATGTTTTGGTGATGGGTTGAATTGTGTGGTCTAACTTTCTGGGATACATATGGTTGTTGTAGTATTGGTTGTGTGAACATTCGAATGTAGTGGATCCTGGTTCGGAGGACAAGCTCCCGAGGTTTCTGAAGTGGAACATGGGTATACTTTTGTCGAACGCTCATGGAGTGAATCTGAAGGGCCAACTCAACTTCGAGGTATGTGTGATGTAGTCAATAATGTGATAGTTACAGCTGGGTATGTGTGGTGCATGGTTGGTTTATGTTTCATATTGGCTTATTATTAACAAAATTGATAATGTGTAGGTGAGGTACGAGCGGTTAGTGGCAGGAGCCAATGAGATTTTATGCTTGGAGGGTGGACCACCTAGGGGAGACGAAGGTGGTGGTTTGGGCGAGGGGGCAATGATTGTGGGTATGGGTGGCCCGTTGCAGACTGTCGTGGGGTCTATGAGTGGTGAACAAGTTGTGAGTTTGGGGGCAGAACTGGGTAGGAGTTCTGATTCTAGTATGCGTGGAAAGCACAGTGGCAGCAAACGTGTAGTGTCGTCTGGTGGTTGTCGTGTTATTGGGCAAGGAGGTGGCAACCATAAGAACAGAGAAATGGACCTGGACGAAGCATTGAACACAATCGCAACTTTGGAGTTGTAGATTAGCACCAAAAACAATGAAATTTTGAATTTAGATATAGAAGTTGATAAATTGAGAAGATGTCCAACGAGACGCATACATTGCATCTGGTGGGGGGGTTTTGAGAGCATTTTCAAGGTGAAGGATAGCAAGTTGGGGAAGTTGGTTGCTAAGAATGCGGAATTGAGAAAGACTATTGCTGGGTTAGAGGAGCAGTTGGCTGATAAGGAAGTGCACAATGTTACGCAAGCGTTCCATGACATTTTAGTAGTGCGTCAGAATGCGGTTGGTAGGCCAGGCCAAGACGTGCACGTACCAAATGGGTTGTGTATCACAACATGTGAGGATTGTAATGTGTTTGATATTAACGATGAAGGTGAGAGAGTTACAGAGGTACGCCAGGTTGAATATGTGCATGTTCAGGAGGCAGTCGATGATGAGTTGGTGAATAAGGTGGTAGTGATTAGCCCACTAGTAGCCAAAGATGGCAGAGCAAGTGGAGGATCGAGCTCTTTTGTTCGTAACATTAAGTGCAAAGTTTGGAAAGAGTTGAAACTTCTAGATTTTGAGTATTCGGTTGTGCGGGGGCAGGGAGGTAAGGTTGGTTTTGGTGCAGGTTACTCAGGGGCTATTGGGGTGAGGGGTGGCATAAAACGTGCGTTGTCGGTGGATGTTATTGATATGGAAGATGTCGAGGGGTCTTTAAAAAAATGGTCGTCATTAACAACAGATTGGCCATTTGGAAAATGTTGACGGCTGACGAGGAGAGTAGGATTGTTGGTGCGCATGAGCGCGACAGTGACGGGTAAGTCATTATGTTTGTTATGTTTTGTAGTATGTGTTTATATGTGTGTGTTCCGCGATGTTAATAGGGGTTGTTTTCCTTTTCTTTTCTTTTTTTTGTTAGTGCTGTGATCTGGAAGATGTCGAAGGACCTTTAAAAAAATGGTCGTCATTAACAACATATTGGCCATTTGGAAAATGTTGACGGCTGACGAGAAGAGTAGGATTGTTGGTGCATATAAGCGCGACAGTGACAGGTAAGTCATTATGTTTGTTATGTTTTGTAGTATGTGTTTATATGTGTGTGTTCCGCGATGTTAATAGGGGTTGTTTTCCTTTTCTTTTCTTTTTTTTGTTAGTGCTGTGATCTGGGCAAGTAACGGGAAAGTTGGTGATGTTTAGGCGACAAATGTGTTGGCGCTTGTTCTGCAAGATCGAGTGCATGGCAATGTAAGTTGATTTTATGGTTTATTGGTGTGTGAGGAAATTTTTGTGCGACGGTGATGTATGACGTGGTGGCATAGTTGTAAAGTGATGTGTGTGTCTACATATGTCTTTAATGGCAGGTAATTGACACATACGCAGTGCAATTAACGTACGAACAGGCTAAACTAAATGAGGGTGTACAATTTTCGGAGAAGTCCTATTTTGTTAGCAGCATATGTTTGTTGAGTGTTATTTGTTGACTGTGTTTGTTGTAGTCCATTTTTTTTAAGTGCCTTATTGGTTGAGGTGTTGTTTGCAGGATATAATACGAAACAGAAACGTGCAAGCGAGAGACATATTTATATTGAACAACTTGAACGCGGTGGACGACGCACGCTACATACACTTCCCAATCTGTCATGATTCACATTGAATGCTCGTAGTACATGACACAGATGACGGTAATTGGAAACATTATAACTCAATGGGGAAGAGGGCAGGCACCGTGGACGTACATTACCAGCAATGAAGTTTCCTGGTAAGCATGATAAAAACTTGTATGAGTTTTTCATTAAATTGGTGTGTTGAGGCTAGCTAACGGGATGTGGTTTGGTTGTGGTGTGTGTGCTATGTTGTAGAAGAACATTATGACTGAGGTGGTGAGACGGACGTAACGTACAAATAATTTGGGTGACTTAGTTGAAACACAAGAATCTGATATTGCAATGGAGTCAGTTGTACAGTGTCCACAGCAACGTGTTGACACGTAAGTAGTGCTGATTGTAGTGATGGAAATGTGGCATGTTGTCTACCGGTATTTGTTGATTTGTTTGTACGTTCACTTTTTGGTTCCCATGTTGCATGCACGGTAGACTATGTGGTCATTGTGTGTGCGATCATGTGGCAGTATGTGTGCCATGTGGATGTGGGTCATTCATTGCATGGGGGTAACTGTAGCGTACTGCGAGCGACGATGGTGAAAGGCTTTATGAACGACCCTATCAGAGGAGTGACGGCCAATCTGATGTGGAATGTGGGATGATACGAGGCTGGCAAGGTGAATAGTTGATGGTTGGGTAATGATAATTTTAACCGTGGGAAACTATAAATGGGGGTTTAGGGTTTGGTTTCTATATTGTTCTTCATTAAGTAGTGAAACAGATTCATGGTGTATATATGGTTTTTGATTTATTTCGTTTTGGTTGTGAATGTGATTTTAGTGGATGATATGACGTTGTGTACGATGTGTTACCATAATTTTAAGTTTGTTAATTAGTTATTTTTGTTTGGTGATACATGCCATGTGTGTAATGCACTTTTTGTGTGTTTGCGTGAAATAAGGTTAATCGTGATGTGAATGAGTTGTCCGACGTGGCCAAATATGCATGATGTGGATTGGTATTGTGAATGGTATGTGTCCGATTAGGTCATGTAATGGGTAGATTTTGGTGAGTAGCACGAAGTTGGCTGTGTCATATGGAAGCCGTGTTTGATTTATGTGAATCTGAAACTATATGTACGGTTTGACTTGTTTCAGTGCTTGATATGTTTAGTTAATGACAAACTTGTGATTCAAATAATTTGGCAGATAAGTTTGTGGGTGGAATTGTGTTCTGTTGCATTGAAGGGTTAATGTTGAGTGGGTGTGTCACGTTAGATGTTCGAAGGTCATTTTCAACTGTAAACTATACCTGGGTGAGTGGTTGTAGTCATTGATTACGTCTTGTGGGTAAGTGTGAAGAGTGTGTTTTTTTTTTTTTTCCTTTTTTGAACAGTAAGTGTGAGTTGTTTCATGGATTGGTGTGGGATGTACGTCATGTGGAACGTGGGTCTGGTAAGAGTGCCGCCATAACCTTGTGTATGTAGTTTTGAAGTGAAGGTTAGTAGCCATGTACATGACCTGTGTGTGAGAGGGGTAACGGTATGGTGTAATTTGTTGCATAATCTGCATGTCGAGTGTTAATTTTGTGAATGCGGTACTATTATATGCAATTAGACTTACTGAAATGGTAGACCGTTTGGTATGGATGGATGGTGTTTTTTTTTTTTTTTTAACTTAAGTGTCTGACATGAAAGGGTTAATTCGCAATGGGTGTGCCACATCAGGTGGTGTATGTTAGGTTCCCAGCATCCACCATTGAAAGTGGTGTACTTGAAAGAAGTGGTAGCCTTGTTTGTTAAGTGTGCCGCATGAGGTGGGACATGTGTGGCTAATTTTTTTGCAACGAGACGTTGGGCGGCACGCATGCGTGATGTTCATAGTTGTTGGCGTGAAGTTGTATTATTGTGAAGGCTGTTTGAATGATAAACTGTAGAGTGGGCTGATATGCTTGTGAAGTCACTATGGCACTCACGTGATCATGGATGTAAAATGAAATTACAAAGTGGGCAAAGTTTAGTGGACATTAGTAAAAAAACACATAGCACGTAAATAAACCCCGTCACTTTATTTAGTAGATATTATACTGATGGTTGGGGCAAGCCGTTTCCCGGCTAGATTGACCGATACAGTGGCTGTGTTGAGGAGATCATAGTTGTGGTAATAAGATAAGTTTTATTACAATGTGGAATTAAGCATCATGGTGAAGATAGGTCAATGCATAACTCAATTGATTCCTTGCATGTTTTACAGTTGTGATTTCCCATACGACCACGTCTGCTACATTGTATCTGTTAGACGTGTTCACCACGTGACATGATTTTTTTTTTTTTTCACCGGCCCGATGGTCGTTTAACAGCCAGTGGGAGAATGACATAATCACCTGGATCAAATGGTGGTCTTTCAACTGTTGGTATTGGGCAGATTGTCGGGCCGTATATGGAACGATATTCTGACACATGGAAATATGGTTCGACAATTTCATTTAAATCTCTACCGCTTCTTCATATTGCAACAACAACATGGGGACATGAGAAAACCTTAATCTGCCATTGGAAACAAAAGCAAAAGTGTGTGGCGATGTTGACAAGTACGGACGGGTGCGAATGAACCTCGTGCACGTCATCATTTTCCTGGTTGACCTTCCACAAACGGCCTTTGGTGTACGACTTTTCCAACCGAGCCTCCATTTTAGGGCAGATTACACCTGTCCACGTCTGTGCGGCAACCCTGCGTTTTGACATCTGCCTCATTAGCTGTGCCCTGATACTGTCTACTAGTTTCGTGATTAGAAGATTGCGCGCTTCACTTATCCACAAATTGAAAGACTCGGCTACATTGGAACTCATCTCTCTATAACGGTTACCCCTGTTAATATGAACACCACAAGTGACAGTGTAACAGTTGATGTATTACGTGTTTCAAATCAACAGTAATGATAATTATTTTTGTTCAAACTAATGTAAGTACCTGAAAAATGCATTCACCCAATGTCGTGGGTGCGCGTCCTCGAGGAATTTGGTTGCAATAGCACGGCCAAATTTCTAAAATTTTTCCAATTTCTGATTGAATGCGAGAACGGTTGGTGCATATGCACAAGCCCGAAATTTATTTACTAAACTGTCATGATGCACACTGTTCATGTATCGTATTTTGTCTTTCAAGTTGCACTGTAAGTGTTGGATACAAAACGTGTGATGTGCGTCTAGGAAAATAGTAGGCATCGCCTCAAGCAGCCCCACATTTCGATCCAATACAAATGTTAATGGTCTTTCCCCAGCCAAGACGTTGGATAAGTTTTGCAAGAACCACGCCCAGTTTGTCATGTTTTCGAAGTCCACAATTGCGTATGCCAATGGGAACAAACCTATTCACACATTGTGCATGGGGTAATGGGTAAGTGAATTAATGGTAAAATTTAAATTGTAATGTTTAAATGATAGTGCATGAAATGGTTTACGTTGGTAGGGTGGGCGTCATTCGGGTATTACATTTTGTAGTATATGTGAAGCTTATGACGTACATGTGTTACCATCTTTCGTAGTAGCAGCCAGCAAGAACCCTTTGAACCTTCCTTTCAAGAAAGTGGCATCGAGGAATAATAATGGATGACAATGTTGGAAACCATCAATAGATGCCTTGAATGATATGAAGTACTGGAGGAAACGGTGCGTGTTGATATCGTGATCAAGATTAGTGTAGCTTCCGGGGTTGTACTCGGTTACGGCATTGGTGTACCAACGCAACTGATCGAACGATAGTGAATGTGCCCCCAAATTGTTCACCTCTCGCTTTTTCAACACCTAACCATGCAACATGGTATGTAATGTCCAATCCGTAGTCATCCTTCAAATCTAACATGACATCGGTAGGGTGTGTGAGTGGCCTTGCACAGACACGTGATGAAACAATATCATCAACCAACTCTGATCTCACCCTTAGGTGCTTAGATGTATGAACTACAACGCCACATTAGTGCTGACTGTTCCATTTGCGAAGGTAGAAGAATCCGTTAGCGGCTAGTACTCGTGCGTGGACGTACCACATGCAACCTTTTGTGTCCTTTATAGCGCAAACAATTGTCACCCGAATGAAATCATTCTTCACATGTTTATACTGGAAGCCACACTCAACGGCATATTTGCAAAGCACAGGCAGGAATAATTGTGCACCTCCTTCGAAACACTAACCAACGTGAGTGAGTCCGTTAGCCCATGTGACAGTTAGTAGCACCTTCTCGGTGTGAGCACAAAAGTTTGGTAGCAGATCAATGTCATCATCAAACTCCAATGGCCGCCTGACCCCTCTATAGGGTGGCTCAAGGTCGCTCGTCATGGAATGAGCATCAGATTCGATTGCGTTAATGGCCTCCTATTCTTGTGCAATAATGACAACTACGTGTTGCAAGTGGAATGACAAAGCGAGGCACACCATATTCTGCATGTCCACATCGTTCTGCGAGGTAAAGTTGTCCAAGTTGGGGATCTTGTAAAACAACGCTACGTTTGACAGTGTGAATCCCTTAAATTTCGAGCTAATGAAATGAACTAGATCCACATACACAAATGGAGGTTACATATTGTATGCGACGTTCATATTCCGGTGTAGACACAGCAACATTAGATTACTATCCATACCTGTAACGAAGTGGGCAAACATGAGAACCAATAACAATAATAAATAATTTTGTTTATGTTATATATCAGACAGGGGTCGAGGGTGTAACATTACTGGTTTTTTATGTTGTGCAGACAATTATAGGGAATTATGCAAACCTAGCAACCAATAAATAATTTTGTTATGTGCAATACGTCAGGCGGGAGTCGATGGTGTAACATTGCGTGTTTTTTACATTACGCAGACAATTATAGGGAAATAGGCGAACCTACCAACCAATGAGAACAGATGCATCAGTCATTGGCACATCGGCACGACATCGGTTCAACCAACACCACCTATGGGTACACATTTGTGAGACACACAGGTACGGGAGTGAAGGGTATTTTATGTGTTACATATCAATGTGACAAAGCGTATCACACCAACAAGTCGAAGAATGTGTAGGTGAGATGAAACATAACTGTGAAAAAGTACAACGTCAAAGATCCCTAATGGCAATAGAATGGCTCTTTCTGCCTCCCCCCCTCAAACCTCGTATGACCCATCCCCCTTGAATCTCCAAAGAAAATGGACGTAACTTTAAATCGTAATTAAACAAACAATCATGAAGAATAGGGAAGACAGTGGTATGCAAGATGTACCTTTCCTGGCAGCCGGCGACGGCATCCACAAAAACAAAACCCTATTCTCCTCTCAGCAATAGTGCTTTGTTGAAGCTTGCAACATGGCTGCCATCTCAATCTTGGGTCGCATATATCCCAGCCACCCAAAAATACGGGATAAGTGTTTCCTTAATAAACCCCATTAGTAGAATATATATGGGTAAAACCGTCCAGCCAAATCATAAACAATTCAAAAAAAGGATTTGATTGCACAACTAACGGGAGCACATAGGACTACACAAAGCATAAAAACAAACGTGGGACCAAATTGAGCAAATGTTCCCCAAATAGGATTTTCCAATAATTTTCCCTTAATTAAAACCAAACCAGTCCTTTTGGTATCAATTAAATCTCAATTAATCATATTTTTTATTTACCAACAATGGAGGACCATAGGTATTATTTTCTTAAAATAATCTTATTTACCAACAGTGTCTTACGAAAACCAACCCTTTTATTTTTTATTTTTTATTTTTTTTGCCCATCATAAGGTTTTGATTTGAAACTGTAATCATATCTATAACAAAGCGAATTTTGTTTTTCAGTCCTTTTTTTTTTGCCCTTTTCTTTTTGTTTACTGTTTCAACCCCCTTTCATTTTTATTTATTTATATTTTTAATGAACAATTAATACAAGAAAAAAAAAACATAGATTATATATTCACAAATTATATAATCGGCAATCACACAAGACAATATCGAATATTAATTATTTTCATCAAAATAAAAAAAAAAACAAAAACATAAAGTCATGCAATCAAAGTAGCTTGGCTTTGATACCAATGTAAGTTTGCAGAAAAAAAAATTATTTCAAAAGATAATTTTTCAAAGAAACACCACCTGATTACACAATCTAAAATACCTCAATCCAAGCATATTGTTGTTTGTTCCTTACCAAGCGATCCAAATGTCTCGCCTCTAAAGTGATTCACCTTGCACCTTCTTACTTTTATTTTTGTGTGTATTTTTCTACAGACCTTAAAAATTCTGATGGTCAATTTTTTGTATGAAATACGTTTCATATATACACAACACATGATAGAATTTGTATGTAGGTGGGATCCTTAGGGATCTATATCTTTCAGTTGCGGAAATAAAATAAAAGATGTATCTTTTATTTTGAATTTGCAAGATACAACTTATCTAATTTTTCATTTAATTATCTTTTAAATAGGTAATATATAACGTCCACTTATTGCAATAAAGTCCATCAACACATTACAATTAAACTCCTAAAAGTAGAGAATTACAAGTGAGGCCCTTTCTTACAATTGGTCACAAACTTCCTTTCATCAAACTATATTTTACACCAGCTATTAGGTATGGACAAATTTATCACTATCAAGAAATCTTAGCTCATGTAACCGAATTCTAAATTTTCCCTTCTTCTAATTGGACCTCAAAAGCATTTTTCAAAAATAGTTCTTTATAATTATACATGTATACATTCCATGTTAAGCACCTATATAAATCAATTACCATTCACATAACCCAGTACGTCTGTGGGCTTTGGTTCGGCGTCACAAATTGACAATATCAAAGTTAAATGAATAGTTAATTATTTTATACAAGCCTCTCAGATCAAAGGAAAATAAGTGCATCATAATAGAATTACCTTTTAAACTGACAGTGATCATTCCATAGATGTTTTCAAAACCGATCATGTTCAGTGGATGTACTTATTGCATAATACCCACCTATTTGCCTAATGTCGCTACCTCAATGATGAAGTAAATCATTCTATCATATATCAACAAAACAAGTTTAGGCCATAGTAGTGTGACACCCAATCAACACTCATAGCCTAGAATATTAATTGGGTCTACAAGCCACCGAAAAATCATAACTCCTAACTTTTGATTCATTAACCATTAGCATGTTTTTCTACAATATTACCCAATGAACCTTATGTTCACATTATATATAACATTAAATATAACATTATCTAGAATGACAATATATAAAAATACAAAATAAAATGCAAAATAATTTATTTAATCAATTAATAAAGTCAATAAATTGATTTTTTAGGATACAAATGCTAACCTGTGTTCATACGCCCCAATTCCTCATCCACTTGGTTCATCACCACCAATATCCTCCTGCTGTCCATAGACATCTGTGCTTGCGCCTCGATCTGAAAAAAAACAAAGCCCTATTCTCCTCTCAGCAATAGTGCTTTGTTGAAGCTTGCAACGTGGCTACCGTCTCAATCTTGGGTCGCATATATCCCAGCCACCCAAAAATACGGGATACGTTTTTCCTTAATAAACCCCATTAGTAGAATATATATGGGTAAAACCGTCCAGCCAAATCATAAACAATTCAAAAAAAGGATTTGATTGCACAACTAACGGGAGCACATAGGACTACACAAAGCATAAAAACAAATGTGGGACCAAATTGAGCAAATGTTCCCCAAATAGGATTTTCCAATAATTTTCCCTTAATTAAAACCAAACCAGTCCTTTTGGTATCAATTAAATCTCAATTAATCATATTTTTTATTTACCAACAATGGAGGACCATAGGTATTATTTTCTTAAAATAATCTTATTTACCAACAGTGTCTTACGAAAACCAACCCTTTTATTTTTTATTTTTTATTTTTTTTGCCCATCATAAGGTTTTGATTTGAAACTGTAATCATATCTATAACAAAGCGAATTTTGTTTTTCAGTCCTTTTTTTTTTGCCCTTTTCTTTTTGTTTACTGTTTCAACCCCCTTTCATTTTTACTTATTTATATTTTTAATGAACAATTAATACAAGAAAAAAAAAACATAGATTATATATTCACAAATTATATAATCGGCAATCACACAAGACAATATCGAATATTAATTATTTTCATCAAAATAAAAAAAAAAACAAAAACATAAAGTCATGCAATCAAAGTAGCTTGGCTTTGATACCAATGTAAGTTTGCAGAAAAAAAAATTTATTTCAAAAAATAATTTTTCAAAGAAACACCACCTGATTACACTTAAAGCTTTGGAATTGAGTTTTTGCACTTGAACATCAATTTGCAAATTCCGGAATTCTGCAATCACTGTTCGACGACAGGGATTTTGTGTCGAACGACCACTCTTGGTTTTGCAACTTCCGCTCGAGTGATCAAAAGTTGGCCTCGAGCGTAAAATTCTTGCTCCCAATACTTTTTACAGACATGAGGCCTCCGCTCTGAGCGAGGAAACCTACGCTGAGCGACCAAGCCTATTTTTGAACTTTAGCTCGAGCGACTAGAAGTTGCGCTCAAGCGCAAATTGAAGAGCTCCCAGAAATTTTTTAGGAGTTTTACAGTCCGCTCAAGCAACCAAAGTTGGCGTTCGATCAAAGACCCTATTTTGAGAAATTTGACTAAGTGTTGCAATATATATTTTGGCATCCTCATTGCATCCTAGGCATTCCTAAGCCTTAATTGAAGACATAATTAATGAGGATAAGGGATTAGAAACACACCAAGATAGAAAAGGGAAACCAAGTTAAGTGGTTTTAGAATATGCGTGTTTCAATGTGCATTCGCTATGTGATGCGTAGTCATGTGCCTTAGCTGGCTTGGTTTGTTGATTCGTCTGATCTTGCTATTGGAGCCATCTGTGAGTAATAACTTTGAAAGCTATTGTCAATGTTAAATATCTTATGACATATGATATGAAATGATCAGCTTTTTTGAAATGCTATTATTTATTCTGAATGACTATGGTGTCCAATTTTCTGCTGGAATGTATTCGTAGTCCTTAGGCATCATATGATATGTGTCTCTTTATGAGTTATCGGAAGCCTTTATTGGCCGTTTCCCTTTATGGTCATCGAAGTTGTTAGCGCTAATAGATGTACCACGTATGATCACATGCAAAATTTGAATATGAATTATAACATGTATATTGGAATCTGTTTCTGATTTTGAATTTGAATGTGCATAAGACTCTGTCTCTAATAAGAATCTATTTTTATATAAACTTGATTTTCTAACCTATGATAACATCATTCATTAAACCCCTTTAATTTGTTATTATTCACTAGGCTCCAGCTCACCATATATTATGTATGTAGGTGACTACGGGCGTTGACCAGGCTCAAAAGTTGATCACTTGGAGTTCTGGAGCTGTCTGCAGCCACTGTGCATCTGAGGGAGGTTCCTTTGAGAATGGTCAAGTTTTGTGAACCATGTTAATGATCGTTGTGTTCTTTTGTTAAGTTAAACATGTTCTTTTGTTGTCTATATATATATATATAAATATATTGGTGACGGTGGGATGATGGTTAATTATTATAAATTAAGTTTTTAATTTTCTGTCTCATGTTTATGCTACACAGCTTATGGACTATGTATGTTTTATATATTTGCTTTCACGCCCCTTATTATGGAGTAATCCTTTCAGAGGCCTTTAGCAATCCCAGTAGTACTAGCGGCTACGACGCTAAACTTACAGGGGTGGGTTTGGGTCGTGACAATGGTAATATAATGTGATCAATTTGACCCAAATCTGGCGTGGTAGTGCCCCACCTAACTTGGAAACGGCCAATACCCCATTTGGTAGTTTCCTTTGCTGTTGTAGGGTTTCGAAGTGTTGTTGTGGAACCAATTTCGATTTGAATTTTGGATCGAAATCCATCATTTCAGATTGGGGACTGGGTGTGGCAGGCGATTTGGGGGTAGGAGTATTGTTATCATCTCGTTGGAGCGAGTGTTGTTTGCTGGGATCGTTATGGAACCCAACGTGTGGGGTGACGTGGTGGTTGATTGTGGATCAAACCTCTGTGAAACAAAAGACCTATGTCGTTCATATATATGCATATGACCATGACGACTAGAAGTAAGTATTTCTAATATCTTGATCCATTATTGTAGAATCTGATGGTCATTGGTGTTGGTTTCATTTGGTTGAGTTTATGAAGAATGTCCATCATTTATTATTAACTGGGGTATGCGTGGGCCTGTAGCAATTTCATGTCCTAATAAGAGTGTGGTTTTGTGTCGGAATGGGTTCGAGGCAATTAGTTGTCTATTTTTTGATGGTCTGCTGTGTGATTTTGGGTGGGTGTGTTGTCGTTTGGTTCGTGTTGTCCTGTTTGTTAATTTGGGTGGTCTCCACAATGTGGTGTCATTTGTTGGATTGT